GCCCCTCTCTTCAGCTGGATTTTGCCATAGCCAGAACAGCTTAAGGACGTAGGCAGGGCATGGCCTGCACAGAGATATGACAATTTTTATCACATCAGCTAGCAGGGTTGTAAAAATCAGCTAGTCTTTCAGAAATGCAAATCCTTCTTTAGCTACTTGTATGCACAAAAGCTCATCTTACTTTTCCAGTTGTTCTAGATAATCCTTCTGCCTACAAACTTTGTCCTGCCTTGCCTATGCAGTCACAGAACAGCAGGAAAGGAGAGCTGGTGGTGACCTGCAGCACTTTCGTACCACTGTAGCCAAGTCATCACTGTGGTATCTCTTACATGAAAAAGATTTCTTAAATCTTCTCCTCTAAAAATTGTTCCAGAAGTGCTTGAACACAGTGATTGCAGCCCAGATTCATTTCCTGACCTGTGCAGATTTGGTTGTTTTATTTTATTTCTTCTGGTCAGGAATAAAAATTACACTTAAAGATTTAAACACCAGTTAAAACACATATCAAAGTTTTTTTTTAAAAAAAAAATCTATTTTCTGTATTTTTATAGGCTTACCAATATCATCAACAAGTGAAAGCACTAATGAAAGGTTTTTCTGCCCTTGTTTGTTTGAATTATCTCCTATGCAAGCAATTGACTTGTGCAAAGATTTTGCCACAGTTGCTTGGAACTTCCACAGACATCTCCAAAGAGGTGGAGGGAATAAAGGGCAGCCTTCTTTTTAAGAAACAGAAAATGAAATCATAACCAACTTCCACTCTCAAACAAAACAAAATCCCAAACTCTCCAGAGACTACCCGAACAAATATAGCACAAGAAGCAGCATTTATCACTATTTTAAAGGACAGTGCTCCTTTGAAAAATCAGTATCAAACAATAAATGCATTTGACAGCCCAGCTGAGACATGTTTACGCCCTTATCTACTTCTAACCCTAGGGTAAACAAAAGAGGCATTTTTTTTCCAGCTAATTATAGTCATTCATTCAAGACACTCTAAAAATGTCAAAGATAAGTAAATGAGCAATTTATTTTATGTGTACATTAGTGAGTATGCCTAGCACTATTTAGCACATTAGTGAATTCATTGCATCAGCATTTGCATATTCTTGTACTCCTATTTATTATTTCAGTCCACTGATTAGCATGCTGAATTTTATCTAGTATATCAAAAAATGTCGTATTAGTTACCACAATGAAAAGAATGCACACCTGCAAAATATTTTTTTTCAATAACTAATAACTTAAGAAACATTAAGTGCCATAAAAAAACCTTTGCATTTTAACTTGACACAGTGGAACACATTAAAATATGGCAGCATCAACCAACCTGTTTCGATTTGCAGGCATCCAGCAATTTTTTTCCTTCAGAAGGGAAGTTCCCTATACTGCAAATTGAAGCTTATTATGGATAAGTTCCCCTCACCTCAATTATCTTTCACAGATCTCCCTGAAAATCATCTAGAGATCTCAGGATGGACGAGAAGCTAAAAACACATGCTTTCATGTCACTATAAAAGGAATTCTGCCTGATGCTTCAGAGCTAATGGTCACACTGGGTTAAACCCTGACCTTGCTGAAGCTAACAGGCATTTTGCATGTAAATTCTTGTAAATTAAAAAAATAAATTAAGAAGTTATGAAAGGATTTTGCTCAAGCACTTTTCTAACATGCTCCCTAGTGCAGTCAATGGAAGACAAGTTAGGTCAAAATCATAATGTCCATGTTTTGCGCTCTGTTTCTGCCCAGCATTACAAGTGCAGGGAAGGAGAGGGCATTTTAGGCCACTGCATTTCTGCTCTTCAGCTACTAATTCCCACATTCTAACACATCTCCCTGTCTTTTAAAATTTGTGCCAGACTTAAGTAAGAAATGCCCTGAAGAGCAGCCTCCTCGGCACGTTCCCCCAGACTCCGAGCAAGCTGTAAAGCCCAAGGGAACCAGGCGCCCCCAGGCCCGGCCACAGCCACTCACACGGGCACTGGCCATGGGCAGCCTCCTGGCGGGGCAGCCTCCCTCCCACGAGCAGAAAGGGAGCAGGTTCCTCTGGCAGCCAAAACAGCCACAGCTGCACAGCACGTTTCTCAGGCCACTTGAATTTTCATTGTAGAATGCTGTAAATAATGACCATAACATATTATCCCAAGATAGCATAAGCTCTATTACAAAAATGCGGTATTTCCAGCTTTTGTCACAGAGTAAGTGGCTCTTTGCTCATCTCCACCTCCACAGCTCTCCTTAGGAACTACAAAGGTTGCCAGTTAAAGAAACACAGCAGTTCCTTCCTAGGTTCCCGCTCTGCTGGCCAAGCTTGAAGGAACTGCTAGAACAGAGAGGCCCGTGTGGCAGCGCCCAGCGCATCGCGCGCAGTCACCACGGGGCGCAGAGCGGCTCCAGCGCTGCCGTGCGCCGGGCAGGCAGCAGCCCCCAGGTGCTCCCCGCTCATACTGGCTCTGGTAAGCCAAGGGCATGCTGGCACGGCCGAAACGGAGAGCTGTGCACCAATTTTGGTGAGCCTTCAGCAGTCATGAAAGCATCGCAGAAATACAGCACTCACATCCACCTTCACCAGCCACTTAATAGGAGTGTCACGTTCTTGCCCAAAGCACAGAGGTGCGTTACCTTTCCCAGATTTCCACCCTAAAACTGAAACACTGTGTACGGCTCTGCCCACAGCATATTGCTAATTATATCCCAAATGAAAAGCATGTAGTTTTTGTATTTTCCCCTTTCCACTCTGTTCATCACAGCAATTCAGACTTAATAGCTGAATGCTTGCTGGTGTTAAAGCAGCAATGTATGTCAGAAAAGCAATAAACTTGACTTGTGGCATTAGCTGTATCCCAGAGAGAATATACAGGGTTACAAATCACTATTTCTGGGGGTAAAGTAACAAAACACCATCTTAGCACCGGTCAATGAAATATTCAGGCTTTTAGCTTTAATTCAGTTGCATCCGTTTGGGGCCACTCCGTACAAATGTAGCTCTGATCAGCACACATAGCAGGACACACTTGCAAAATTAACATCATTCTCATCGTGCAAGGTGGCAAGCAGAAAACACAGGACAGTGCTGACTTGTTTTTTAAAACAAGAAGGGGAAAACAAAGTATTTTTCTTATGGATACATTAGCCATAGTTTTAAGTAGTAGGGCTGTTCAACAATTTGATCTTTTTTTTTTTTAAAAAAAAATCTTTCAACAAACAGAAAACATCTTTCACTCTAAATCTCAGGAAAAAAAAAAAACACACACACACACTCCCCCATTCAGCTAGATACCTTTAATAAAAACGATCTTGTATTACAGTTCCATCCCTACCAAAATCAGAAGGATTCTCCTTTGAAAGCAGAATGCAACATTGAGCAGAGTCCTGGCAAACAGTGTTACACAGAACATCGTCTTGTGTGGACTGACTTTCATTTTCCCCAGGCTCAAACAACTGTTCACAGCAACAGCCGCCCTGCAGAATGCTGGGTGCTCCAAGACATGTTTTTTCTTACTTGCGCTTCTGACAGCAGCACAGAAGCTCTGTAAACCTCCCACAGAGAAGTGAATTCAGGTCATTTGCACATTTCCCACAAGCAGGAAAATTATTTACTCAAACATAACTCTATTCACCTATAACAGCTCGACTCAACACATTTTAAGAATGTCAGCAGCCAAAATGTTGCACAGAATATTTCCATTTCATTTTGTACCTGTAACTATCAAGTGAAAAGGCTGCGCTAAGAACACAGCACAATCCACACAGCAACCGTGCAGAGGCCCAGAAACAAAATCCTGCAGCAAGCAAAGCAACATGCCAAAACCAAAGGGCAGTGCAAACTCCAGCCTCTTCCTCACTCTGCTGGCGCAGACTTGCATCTGGTCGCCCATCTCCAGCCTTGCCCTGCAGCAAGGCCTCACAGGCCCAACAGCACCACCTGCTCTCCCGCTTCCACAGCACATGGCCAGATTCACAAACCAGATAAAGAAAATAGAGAGAAATGAAAAAGTGAGCACTGTACCTCACTTTACATATATGAAATGTAATTTGCAATTGAAAATGATATTGACAATTAAAGACCCAGAACAGAATCCTAGATTCAAATACCACTCTTCCCCTTGGGAAAATCTGGCTACAGTTTTTTGACAGAGCTCTATACATATACATATATATAAAATCTCTCTCATCAACATTCAAAAAACAGAACTTACAGTACACCCTTGCTCTTGTGCAAAGACAGTGCTGAAGCATTTCATTTTGAGTCTAATTTTTTAATAGGATAGCCATTAATGTTAACACCAGGACCAAAACCAATCAGCCCTTGGTTAGTGCTTATGTCAAAAGGGCAACACATGAGAGTCAAGTAAGCAAGCAATGCAAAAGATAAGAAAAGCAGCATTTATGAACTTCAGGACACATTCCATCCTTCCACCTACTAGCCTAAGACTAATGCTTTGATTTGGAAAAATTCTTTTCAATGAACCCATCCAACTGTGGCCTAACTACAAAGCAGATTTAATAGTAAGGAACAAAACAAAACTCTTAACACTTGTTCATGACATTCTGTATGCTACAGGGCATCAGCTATACTTTCCTTCAAGTTACCACAGCAAGAAATGCATGAACGCTCCCTAAGTCTTCCAAGTCACGCCTAAATACCACAGAAGCCCTCAAGTATCACAGTAAATCCTTTGTATGTATGTATTGAATGTGCCTGGAAAGTGGGAGGTACTGAAGAACAGAGGAGAGAAAAAAAAAAAGGCCAAACCAAGCCAAACCAAAACCAGATCCACTTCCAAAGAATCTCGCACCATTTTCTCCCTGCCACAAACTTCACAGTCTCGACTCTGTTGAATAGACTCCACAGACTCCAAACACATCCATCTTAGGCCCAAGCCTCCTTTATACTGTTCTATCAACTTTCAAGCACAAACACTACAGAAATGTTATTGCTAACATTTCTAAAGTCAGCTTCAAAGTCCACCTTTAATTGAAACACACAGGTTGCTTACCTCACTATTGTGGCCCCTCAAATTGAAGTTGATCCTCTGAGGGGTGTTCCGGTCTCTCCTGCAATGGCTGGAGGTAAAAGTGACGCCTACAACTCCTCTGCCATTGCCTGTTGCCAACCAGCCTTCCTCATAGTATCGTCTCCGGCACACCGGCTTCTCCTTCTCGCTTTTGGGGACTCTCCCTTTCCAGGAGAGGCAGAGGATGTTGGAATCGCTGCAAAGAACAGGCCCATGTTCCACTGCTGCATACATGCTTTTTAAATATTTTATTTTTTGACATAAGAAAGTAATATGTCTAGTGCACAAAATTTAAATCAATTCTTTTATTGATAAGACTGACCTGGGATAGATCATTGAAAAGGAGGAGGATGGGGTCAGTGTTTATAAATATCCACCAAATGCATAGTGAAAAATTCCTCTATAAAAGATGATGGCAGTTGGCTAAGAAAAAGTAACACTTAAAAAAAAATTCAGGTTCATTTTTCTTTTTTGAGTCCATAGAGTGAGGGTGCACGTATCCTTTGGAGAAAAAGCTACTTCGTAAGAGGCGCTCAAGAAATGGTTAAATCATCTTTTTGCTCTACTTGATATAATCTTTATACAGCCTGAGATTCCAGTTTAGCTTAATGCAATTCCAGAGACAGAGAGTTGCAAACGTGTAGGTTTCAAGTAACTTAAGGCTTTTAAGATTTCCTCCAGTCAGATTTTCTTCAAAAGTTCGGATGCAGAAACTTATACACACGCACATACATATATAAGTATATATATGACATTCATCTTTTCCAAGCTGCCCTCTGACACATCTTTTCCATCCGATGTACTTCTGCTGCTAAAGCTGAAAGAGATTGCATAAAGGGGAAAAAAAAGGCACACAAACCGTGCAGAACAGACTCGACCTTGGGCAGGCACTGCTGTGCCAGGCCAGGCAGGAAATCCCTCTTGGTACTGAACCACTTGCTGGAGTCAACAGGTTTTGCAATCCAAAGCCAATCCAATTTTCATTGCAGCACTTTTTTCCACCAGAGACTGAACCCAGCCTGAACTGTTTATCGCGCTATCTTGCCTGCTTTCCCAATTTTTGCTGCCACACTCAAAGGAAAAAGATACCCGCTCTTCATTCAGCGGAATCAAAAATGCTCTTAAGCTTTTAGCTTTCAAAACAGGTAAGTTTGCCTCAGGCGAACCATGAAGTTCTGTTTCCTCCAGAACAGGCTGAATGTCAAGCTAGTTTTCTTTTACTTTTCCTTTTTTTTTTCCTGCTACAAAGAATCACAGATTTTTCATCCTACAGCAAAAACAAATGCCAGAATTAAAGCACATCAAGTAAGCACTCTTTCAGAATCTTCTAAAATTCACAAAAGGAAGAAATATAATCATCTAAAAAAGAAAGAGAAGCAGCATTAAAAATCTGACTTCCAGGTGTCACTATATCTCTAGATATTTTCCTCGCTTGTTTGAGTGGATCTTTCCTTCTCGATGCTTGTCTACAGCACAGATTCATAGTTCCAGACACAACATTTGCAGCTGTACAAGAAGGAAACATATGAAGTACTCCAATCGTTTTATTTGAGTAACATTTATGAGCTCAATTAATTAGTATTTATACCACAGTTAAGTCAAAGGGAAAAAAGGAGAGGGAAAAGTAATATGCAAATTTGATGACCTGGCTAACTCAAGAGGGACAACAAGGTTTGTTCAGTTCAATGTCCACAGTTGTCCCATAGTTCCTGATCTTACTTCCAGTCAACACTACTGAACATGTGGTTTACGATTTATTAGTTCGGTCACAGTCTACTGAGCCCAGTGGAGTATGTGCCAAAGATCATTCATTATTTCTCTGCAGTAACAATCACTTTCTTCAACACTCTGTCTTCTTTTGGCTCCTTTGTAATTTTTGATTTTGACTAGGGAGGTAATTATTATTTTCTCCTCTGTGCAGAGGGTGTTTTTTCTTCCTCTTCTTGCACACCTTTTTCACCCGTGAATACCATGTGGAAAGTTGAGCACTAGTGGCAGGTGTCTTTCCATGAGTTACTGATTCCTGTGCTGTAAAGGTGCTCCATCTGGTTCTTAAATTAATTTTCATCAACTGCAAAGCTCAGGAATATGCAAGAATAAGTCTACGTGATGACAAAAATGTGTGTACATTCATGTACATGCAGTACAAACACAAGCTCGCTCAATCTGATACTCAAAGCCGCATCTGCCTTTTCAGCCGAGTTGTAGAGATCTTGTAAGATGCCCGTCATTCAGAACTTGAAATCCCTGGATTCTTCAAACTCTGCAAGACAAAGTACACAAACACAAAAAAAGAAGTGAAAAAATATGCCACAAAACAGCTTAGGCAGAGCTATAGAAATTAAAGTAACAGCAATTGAATCATTACACTTAATGATTATTTTATACTGATCTCCCATAACTGTAATATATGGGCAATATTCATATACATATTCATATTTTTTGCTTGCACACAGACATACAAACAAAAAGCACAAACTAGGAAATATTCCTTCATCTTGTAAGTTTACAAAGCTTTTCCACATGGGATACGCAAAATGTACCTAGGAAAGACATATTAAGGAAAAAAACTTTTTTTTTTTTTTTTTCAATCAACAGCTCTTGGGGACAAATTTTCACAGAAAGATTGCACGCCTTTTTGAAGTCAGGCCAGGGAAAGGAGATGCCAGTTACAGAGCAGATGCACAGTTAGACACCAAGGGACGCAAATTATGAAGTACAGGGCTCAAAAGAATAAAGGAGTGAAATGACTTCTCTAGGACTTGAAATTCTGCTTTCAGGAAAGCTAAGTTATTGCAAAATGAAAACTTATAAGATTAAATAAATACAGATGGATTTTAAAAACTACTCAAATCTTTAATAAGTCTCCATTTGAAAGAGGAAAAAGAAATACTTATATTCAGTTTTATATAGACATGAAATCAGAGGTGTGCAAGATATTCCAAAAGATCTGTCTGTAGCAAACAGATGCAGCTATTGCTCCTACACAGTTATTGCTAAAAAGAACTCATTTAAATTAAGATTTGCACAGATCACATTCAATGCAGCTAAAATGATCTTGTGTATATCACATGTGACACTGTACTAATTTCATATTTTGAGTAATTAACCTTTTTTTTCTGTTTAGCACAGATATACCAATAAAAATTTTTAAAAGCTCAGGAATACTGTCAGTAAGGTCTAGTGAGTCTCTATCAGAACTTTTCAGCATTACAACCAACTAACAGATGATTTTAAAGTAAGTACCACCAGCAGTTTTTTCATTGTAGCATGATAAGGGTTTGAGAAGTGTCCTTTAGATTGCCCGACTATGGAAATGGTCTATAAAGGAAATAAGGGAAAAAACCATGGAACCCTCAAGTCAGCCTTTCTCTTTTGGTTCCCCCCGCTCAGTATTTCTTATGAAACTGCTTAATTAAAAGATTCAGATGCTGGTCTTCCCCCAGGAGGATCCATACTTCCCCCCTCGCTCTGTGGCCATTGCGCCTATTTGTAGCAGTCTTATAGTTCTGCACCTTTGTACACATTTAAACCAATCTTTTTGCCTTCTTTTGCCCACCGCAAAACGCAAATAAGTTACTACCTCTGCAGTAAAGCACTTGAAAGAGGTGGAAAGCAAACAATCTTCCCATGGCTCCCGATTCTGCAGAGACCCCCTACATGAAGTGTATTCAGCTTTTCAGATGAAGTTCTTCCAAAACAAAACTACTAAACTGTAGGTTTTTATAATCAAGCTTAGTGCATCTTCCTTTCTGAACAGAAGAAGAGCTAATCAGAAGTTCGCTGATCTTGAAAAAGCATTCATTTTTGCTGGTAAATTGTTTCTGGCACCACTAAATCACTAAATATTGACAAATAGCAATAATCTACTTTGATATACTCCCACTTGAAGTGCAGTTGAACACTTTGCTCTGGATTGTAACAAAGGCAGAAATTGCTTGAACCTGTCCTTGGATAGCATTTTGAGCCAAAGCCCAGTGATGTAACAAGTTCTTTAACTACAGACACCTAAACAGACAAAAACAGATTGAGGCTTTTGACACAGGAAAGATGAAGGATCCATAATTAGATCTTGCTGTGCCAGCAGAGCTCCTTCTGAATGCAAAACTAGCATCAGCTTAGTTGCCACATTATAGGAGTAAATTTAGGTATAAAAAATACAAGCTTATTGACAGTGGCTCTTATTTTTTCAGTATCAATGTTTAACTCAACATTTACTTCTATAAAAGTGTGTTAGGCCGCAGTTGCATAACGACAAACATCTCTGCTTGTTCTTGCGCATCTTTCACTGACATTTCTCTCTCACTAAGAGAGAGGAGTCACGCACAGCCAAGGGCACTAGCACGGCAGCAAAGCTCATCGTCCTTTCATGCTTAGCGCACAAGCCAACTACAGGAGACAAAGACACGACAGAAAGCAGAAAAGGAAAATTCAGGGGAGTGCACACTATTAATTACCAAATTATTAATTACGAGCAACTCACATCCTGCATTTAAAAAGATTGACCATCCAAAAAAATCTTATGAAATGAAAGCCGTAGAGTCTTTGAAAAGCCAGGCTACCAAATATTAGGCTTTTTCAGCCTAATCTATTTTCCTTCCCATCAAATGTTTAAGAGGTCAAAAGAAACACCAACTTTCTCTTCTTGCAGTCCAGAAAAGGAAAATTATATACCAATAGCCACAAAGATGGCAAGCTCTTTTAATTAAAGACTGAGACCACAAACTTGCATTTTTCTCTGAAAGATCAAACCTAACTGGTTCTGCAAAGGCTGAAGACAGATGATCCCACCAAACAACAATTTAAGCAAATGGTTATGAGCTATTAACTGGGAAGTAGCAAACTGACATACATTCTCCAAAAGGTTGGTCCCTGAACATATGAAAGATAGTAAGTGTTTTAAAAACCCTGCCTATGGAGGAAGTGAGCTAAATGAGAAATTGTACTTTTCACGTGGAAAATAATTCGGAAAATATTTTTTAAAAGACCAGAAAATAGTCTCTCAGCCCAAAAGGTAAGGATACCTAAGCTAAACAATCCTCAAAACATGCAAAGAAAAGAAAACACTTAGCTTCTGCTTTGTTTTTAAATAAGTTAACAACTATGTACTTTAGTCAAGTGAATATATCCTCCTTTGCAAGAACTGCTGTGAGCCCCCTTAATCAACTGCAAGACAAAATGAAGATATTTCTGCTTTCACAGCCCTCATTCACTCCTTCCCCTCCTCTCCCCCCCACCAATGGCACACCATGCCATCATTTATTCCAGGAAGATTGTTCAAAGGTGCTGCTGTTTGAACTATATTAGGGAAATGATCCAAGTAGAAGTTTCAGAAGCGAAGTTTGAAAGCAGCTTTATCAATTAAGATCTGGTTTGCTAGATTTGGGCTTACCCTTCCTTTCTTTGTGAGAAGGGAAGCAGCTCCAGCCTCTCTTCACACAAGCTCTCCTACTCTCACAACAACCAGCAGCCAGTGCAAGGGCTGATCTAGCTGAAAGTTCACCCTCCAAAGGCACTGGATGACTTGGATGCGGAGCAGCCGCTTCACTCAACTCACAGGCAGCCACAACAGCGCTCCTGCCAAAGCAAGAAGGGTGCTGGAAGGTTGCATGACAGCAGTCTGACTACAGTCACTTTCTACTGTACTCAAAGGGTTTTTCTATTTTGTTTTAAACTTAATGAGTCCCCGTTAGCATTCCTAGCATGGTCCTATGTGCAGTTGCACTGGAAGAAAGGAGGCAGCAGCTCCACAGCCCAAGGGAGCAACAGAGGGAAGGGCCACTTGCAGCCAGTGCTGCCATTTGCACACTTTCTGCCATGAACTCCAGCTACAGTGTGTTTCCAAACTCAAGGTTTTGCCCTCAGAAGAAGGGAAGAAAGCCAAGTTTGTTCCTTGAGGGACAAACTTGACGTGGCTCCCACAGTGTCCTAGAGCAAAGGCTACCCATCAGCCATGGAAAACTGCTCCACTTTCAAATGAATTGTCATGGGCAAAACACTTCAGATAGACGACAAAAGACCTGTTTCGGGGATTAAAAACATACAAATATAGGACAGTACCGTTCAACGTCTGTAAAAGTACACCAATAAAGCACCCACTAAAAATCTTCAGAGAAACAAAAGAAA